TTTCGACCAGACCTTTAAAATTGGATTAGTAAGCAAAATATGAAATTTTCGAGGATTTAGCCGTAATTGCCCTTTAAATCATCCTGATTTATTAAAACAAAATCAGTGTGATTCAAGATAAGCTGACAAGTAGAATTTACTTTGGTGTCTTATTTTGCCAACAGTTTTAAACCTTTGTACAGACATTAATTTTGATTCGATAGCAATGTTATATCGAGTCCATCCGTACACATCCATTACAATTTCGGTCACAAGTAAATCTGAAGGCCATTCTCAAGTCCGGTCGCAAGTAACAGTGAGTGAAAACTCACAACGGAATGCCCTTGTCTCTGTTAGGCCCCCCCCCCCCAAAAAAAAATACTCGGTCTCTGGTCAGCGCGCGCGTCGATTTTAATCATGCGCGTCAACCTTTTTTTTTCTTCAAATTAACACGGAAGCTACAACAGCGCCCTCTATTGCCGCGCCTCCTCAAATTTTTGTACCAAGGAGTACCAAGGAATGGGGAAATTGCACCAAGGCAAATGATAAAGGGCACCAAGGCAAATTGTGGAGGACACCAATGTATAATGAGGACACAAAAAAGCAAAATAGTACCCACCTTGTCTGTACAATACAAGCTTGAAAAAAAAAAGCCACCAAAAAAAAAAAAAAAAAAAAATAAAAATCATGCGTAGCGCGCAAGCTGCGTGCATGCGAAGGTCAATCTGTACTTCCTTCATAAGATTCTTTGAAGCTCATCAGCCCTTACCAGTGCCCTGTTTGCAGGGCGGGGGTATGGTACGAGCGAAGCTTTCCAGATGTCCCTTTGAAAAGTTGACAACCAACTGATTATTTACATGTCCACTTGGTGAAGTCCTTGCGGTATTACCTCATACTGGTGGTAAGATGTCATTTTGGCCATCTGAAGACAGTTCTATCTTCCCTTCTCCAAGTTCCTGAGCTGCATCCTTCTGCCCAGATGCAGACAGTTCTATCTTGTCTTGTACTAGTTCTTGAGCTGCATGTGAAGGCCCGATTGCAGACAGTTCTATCGGGACAATTTCTTGACTTGCATCATTTGGCCCAATTTCACACAGTTTTGTCGTTTCTTCTTCTGGTTCCTTAGCTCCATCCTTCTGCCCAGTTAGGGACAGATCTTCCTGTTCATGCTAAAGTTGTTGACTTGAATCTGTTGGCGCAATAGCGGAGACTTCTATGTGGTGCTCTACAAGTTCTTGGGCTGCATGCCTTGGCCCAATTGCGGAGAGCTCAATCAGTTCAATTTCTGGAGCTCCAACTTTCGGGCCGGTTTGGCCCCGCACTAGTTCTTGAGCTGCATTCTTGGGCTCAGTTGGAGACACTTCTATCTGCACATGTACGAGTGGTTGATCAGTATCCGTTGACCCAATTGCTGACAGCTCTATCTGATGCAGGACGAGTTCGCACGCTTCCTCCTTTGGCCCAATTACAGATAGTTCTATCTGCTCCTGTAGTGGGTCTGCAGCCGCTTCGTTTGGTTCGATAGCATTTAGTCCTTTTCGCTCTTTCGCTGCTTTTGACAAATCCTGTGCTTTGACCTCGCGACGGTGAGCAATGCATGAAAACGAGAGCGCTTCAACCACAGCATTTCGATAGGCGGAGTTGGTGGCGCTGTAGACCAGGGAATTGATAGAACTGTTGATCAGGTCCAAGATGGCTGCACTTATAGTTAGTTTAACTGAATACAGTCCCAATTTGTTGTCGCTGGTGTAAAGGTGTAACATAAAAATGATTGTCCAGACAATACGTAATAAATTTAAAATAAGAAACACAGCAGTGTTAATAACCAGCATACGAGCAACCTTGCCGACTGGCTGTGAATGTTGCTGTGAAGCGGGAGTTTGACGGCGTAGCTTAATCACAATGTAACTGTACACAGATATGGTGACGGCTGCAGTTGATACATAAAATATAAGTGCCAGAAAGAGATATATTTTGGCGAAAAGAGGTTGAGATTCTAACGGGCTTTGGTGAACACCAATATCTGAAAAACTTGCCAAACCAATCGAAAAAAACCAGAGTCCTGCAGATATTTTAGCAGCTCGAGTTTTGCTGGTCGAGGCCCTGAAAGTTATAGGGTGATGCACAGCTGAGAATCTTTCCACTGCTATAGCCGTTACAAAACAGTAAGAGGCTGTACTCGCTGTTCCAGCAACTGACGACGAAATAGTTGATGATATCTGTAAGTCCTCAATGTCAACAGGTGTTGATGACGAAATGAGTGAAGTAAGAAGGTAGATGGTATCAGCAACTGCCAGATTAGTCAAGTAGACATTGAGGATTGTACGCATAGACTTCACTCGAACTACGACAAAGAGGAAGAGGAAATTCAAGATGAGACCAATTGGTGCAATAATTTGGACAGATGGATATGCTGATTCTTCAGCTTGCACTGCCTCCAACAGCTCGCTCTCTCCCCATATACTTTGGTTGTGTTCTGCCATGAATTTGATTTCATCTCATCGTGTGTTTCTGACATCAAATCGAAATTCATTCTACTTATATATGCTAGGGTCGATCATTTCACCTAATTTTGTTTTCATTACAGGACTTAGATTACTAGTTTCTTGTTTCGTTTTCTTCAGGTGGAGTTTATTTATAACAACAGAATTCACTTTGATATGTTCTTGAACATAAGAGATATGATCTTTAGTTGTGATAGGCAGACCTGGGAATGAATTCACTTCTTTCGGAGGCACTGTAAACAAAAATCCCGAGTTGATTTCGTTTAACGATAATTTGCTTAAAACGAAAGGAATTGCTATTACAGAGTCTTTGTAGTTAATTTTTTGTTTCGGGTAGGCCTAATCATTAAGGATGTTTTTGCTTGTGTAAAGGCGAAGTAGGAAACATATCCATGATCCCCGACCTGCAGTTTTACGCGATGATTACTGAACTTCGTCTGCTTTCTATGAAAGATATCAGACGCTCACATTTGGGTAGTTTTTGCTGCAGTGTCTCCACATGTTGAACCCTGGGTTATTGGCCGGACTCACGGTAGAGCAATGCCTAACCAAGCATTGTTTTCTGCTGGGAGTTTTCATCCTCCGAATACCCCGGGTCGTTGACACGACCGCTTTGCGGTTTTTTTTGTTCACACGGAAGAACAATGTTCTTGTGGCATGTTGCCGTTGTGGAGTTGGTGAGCCCGCTTCCCCCCCCCCCCCCCCCCCCCGGGCTCAGCGTATAGGCGATGCGCACCACAGCGTTTTAAGTAAAGGGTAAGCGAGCCTCATGCACGGCCACACTGGTTCTGAATTCGAATCATAAAGCCGGGTGCACACGAGAGTTATATCTGCTTCTCCAAAGTTCATATATCCGGCGAGGCCAATGGCGTGAGCAGATTTTACGGTTTTTTTCATTCCTGGCGCTGTATGCGGCGGATAGCCAACGTGTAGAAGATTCCTGCCACGAATATCGAATGACCGTAGCACCCACATTTGTTTTACAAACGTAATGGGAATTTCGAATATCATCTAGGCCTCAATTTGAACACATTTTCGGTAGGCAAACGTTTGTGAATATCAATATCAAATACTAAACTCATTTTGTTTTCATACAACTGTGTTTAGCTTTTCGCTCCGACGATGTGCCGAAACATGGAAATGTGTACCTGTTCAGTTGTCATGCCATGAAAAAAAATGTCCGTACGTAGTTCATGTCCCTTAAATATATGTAAAGTTTTCAGTTGAAAATGAGGGTAAAATTAAAAAGTCACAAATAGCCTATATTTGGCACATAGGGAATGCAGAACATTTACCGATTTTGCCCGATGTTTGAGCCAAAATGTTTGCACTATGAAGATATTTGCAGTAATATAGGTGAAGCATTTCTTGTGTGTTCCAAAACCTATATGCTGAGTTGATTTGTCAGTTTTCCAGCACTATTGTTATTAGCATTTATACACGAAAATTTGCCGTCAAGGCAATCGTCAATATTCCTCGGATAAAAAAAGAAGTGCAAGTGGAGATACACAAAAGTAAGTGGTGTTCACCAAGCATAATGTGCTCGCGTTTTCAAAATCAAAAAACTGTCAGCTTTCTAATGATTTTATTTACTTGAAGGCCTATGCTATAATCACATGCAAATGCGTTTGTGAGGGTTTCTGAAGAATCATAAAGACAATAATTTCTTAAAGTGTACAGCTTGTTTTACATTTTTGAATAGCCCACCAAGGTTAAATTAATCTTAAACTGTTCGATTGATCTTCCAAATCGTTGTCCGTATAGGATCAATAATCCTTTGGCTCCATCCATTATTTTCATGAAAGGCGCACTGGCACGGTATTCATAATTATTAAGTATGCTCTATTACGTGACGGGTATTTTGTGAGTGTGCAAATAAGCTACGTTTAAGCAAGACCCCCATTGACTGCTGCTCCAATTTCTTTTTTATTTAGTACCTATAGGCCTTTCTTTTTTGGTAAACATTGGTGCCATTTTGTATGGGTTGCCGTAAGTGCATAATTTGAAGCCGTGGTTGGCAACATATTGCTTTTCCAAAAAAGTCCTCATAACGCCATCAACACATAGTAAAAAGGTATATGTAGGAATTGTTTTTGTAGTTTTGTTGAAAATGTTGTATTTTCAAGTATCAAATACTATTTTGGTGATCTTTAATAACTCTTTTTCACTTTTGTAGTGTTGGGCCTTCCATAGTTTTGCAGGCCGTGGTTGGCAAAAATTCAGCGGTTTGCCAACCGCTTTAGCGATACATTTGTTACTGAAACACATAATCCTTCCCAACCGTCCCGCCCCGCCGCAGCCTCTTCTCAGACTTTTCAAGCATGATCTCACAGAAACCACACGATTAAAGCTATCTTTATCAATTTTTTTGTTTGTTTCTAAAATCCTGGATGTGACACGTACGCCGGGTCGCGGCTATTTGACTGTAAGTGGTGCATCCGTGGTCCCCCCCCCCCCCAACACTTGCTCGCTCACGGTCTTCAACTCTTCTCGAGAGAGGGCGCCATTGCACAAATGCTTCGCGTTGTTTTGAACATGGCAGCCTCCATGCAAAGAGTGGTTGTTCAGAGAGACGCACGATGTAACTGCCTTAAATCGTTCAAATGTTCAGTGTTTCACAGCAGATCGCAGGGTTTTGACAACAGAGTAACTTTGTAAGTTGGCTGATGATGGAGAATGCTTTGCCGATTTTCAACAATATTCACTAATTTCATGGCGTTTTTGAAGCAGCCGGCATTGGTCATCATGTTTGGACATACTCCTAGAACTATGAGGCTCCGCGTGAGCGGAGCCTCATAGATCAAGAAGCCCGCAAAATTGCCTGCAGCACAAAACACTAATAAAGTACAAAAACGTCCATCAAAATGCAGCCATTTCACACAGAACCGCTGCACAGTTTGCCCCTATACTCCGTACTTTATCTCTTGACATACTCACGTATCTTGTGCGGAACTAACATAGGTGGATTCTGTCGGTTTTTAGGCCAAAATGATGAAAAATATGCCCTTTCCGCACTGAGCCAACCTGACACTTGAAACGTGCACGCATATGATCGAGCGATGATTTTCGGTTCGCTCGGAGCGCGCCGCGGGGGGTACGGTACAAGCGAAATGATGTGCATGCGTACAAGTGCATGTACCGTACCCCCGCGGCGCGCTCCGAGCGAACCGAAAATCATCGCTCGATCGATCATAATGCGTGCACGTTTCAAGTGTCAGGTTGGCTCAATGCGGAAAGGGCATATTTTTCATCATTTTGGCCTAAAAACCGACAGAATCCACCTATGTTAGTTCCGCACAAGATACGTGAGTATGTCAAGAGATAAAGTACGGAGTATAGGGGCAAACTGTGCAGCGGTTCTGTGTGAAATGGCTGCATTTTGAAGGACGTTTTTGTACTTTATTAGTGTTTTGTGCTGCAGGCAATTTTGCAGGCTTCTTGATCTATGAGGCTCCGCTCACGCGGAGCCTCATAGTTCTAGGAGTAGTTTGGACAGGCAAATTTTTCAAAGTTTCCGCAATCCGGAAAAATTCCGTACTGGGCCACCACTTTTGGGAAAATTCGGCCAACCGATCACCACTTACCTGCCGCCAAACATCCAAATGTTCACCTCACCTTGTGATTTCAACCAAGAGGAATCCAGGAAAGAGTGGACATGCGAAAAAAAAAAATAGGCAAAATGTGTTTCCAGACACTTCAATCAATTTGACCGGCTGCTTCCAACTTAATTCTGCACGACATGTGCATCAAAAATGTGCTCTAAAAACACATTTTTCCTGAAAATAAATGGCATTTGCAAGGCTTTCTGAATTCCTCTTGGGTGAAATCACAAGGTGAGGTGAAAATTGATGTGTTTGGCGGCAGGTAAGTGGTGATCCAGTATGGATTTTTTTCCATTTTTGGATGATTTCGGTGGCATTTCTCCAAAACAAGTCCAGTAACACGGATGTCGTGCATCGTATAGCATGATGTCACTGTGCAAGTGTCAAGTGATTTTCGACATGGCTCCATGTTTTCCTTGTTCCACACGTGTAGTGTACGCGATGGATGTGGGTACCATACCGGTATTAATTTGAAATGTTTATCACGTTTAATTTTCAGGGTTGGATTGTTGCATCAGAGCTGAAGTTTTGATACAAGCGTCACTCTTGAGATCTCCTTCCTCATCACTTTCCATTTAAGAGTAGGCCTGTTTTGAAGACGGTGTCTTCAGTGCTACTGCTAGGAACATCATGAGTAGCAAGAGTCTTCATTCATCTCAGGTGAGCTTATCTTGAATTCTGGTGTCCTCATTGTGATTTGTTAATCGGATAGGTCAAATGGAACAAAGCGTCAGCATAGCCACATAAAGGTTTCTCAAAAACTGGACTTCCTCGGTATTGTGACATGAGGCTCACCTCAAATCAGTGCATCCTGGAAAGTCGTGTTTCTTTGAATTTGAAATCTGAAATTGACGTGACAAATCTTTCTGCTCCAATGTAATGTACATGAAGTTCTGGCCCCTGTTTAGAAGCAGATAAGATAAGCAATTTTTTGTTATTTTCTCCTGCAAAATCGACGGCTTGAATCTACCTTGGTAGCAATTTTTTCTTTTACAGAAACAGCAGTGGGTCTCCCCATCCTTTGACGACTTCGAGTTTGACGTTCCGTCACAAAGCAGCCAACGGACTAAGCAGTCCACTCTTAAAACTGCCTACGGCAAGAACACGCTGCCTCAATTCCTGAGTCGCAAGAGAAACAGGAATGAAGATGATTCAGAGAGGAATCGAACCGTCGACCGACGGAAGCAGCGTCAGGCAGTAGAGGCAGACATCTGGGTGGACAAACACACGCCGCAGATACAAGTGAGTATGGGAGTAATCAGGAATACTCTACACAAGGGTAAACAACTCATCTGAGCTTGCGTACAAAATGTACGGAACAATTTTTCTAGGGGCGTGATACGCCGCGTCCGTGCATAGAACAACGCATAGAACGTAGAACAATGCGCGCGCCATAATCGCCGACAGCTGGCCTGAAAGAAATTTGACCAATGAAAGACTGCAGTCGCGCGCCGAGTCTCGCGCACGCAAACGCAGAATGCGCAAGTGCCATATCAAGCCTCTAACCAGAAATTTGGGGAAGTTGTTTATCCTTGCGTAGATGATCCATGGTATAATCAAGTAACACACATGTACATCAAGTAAGGAGTTTTTTTTAATGCATGTTTGCCCTGAACAAGGCTAAAAGCCACTCAGGGTACGAGGCTACAAGAGAAATAAGAAGAAGAGTAGGTACTCAGGAAAACTGAAAGTAGGAATTAACATTTCGCTTGAAACAGGACAGATCGATCATAGGTTGTAGGTACAAGTTTCTCTCTCGTACACTTAACATTCCTCTTGAAACAGGACAGATCATAGGTTGGAGGGAAACAAGCACCAGGCAAGGAATTCCAAAGAGATGCAGCACGTAGGAAAAAAGTATCAGAATATTCTTTTCTACATCTAGAATGTTGGTACTGTAAAAGTATATAGATGAGAACAGGCAGAACGCCAAGTTTCTCTTTCCAACACTCTGATTAGAGGAAAAGGTTGGGCAGACTAGTATCCAGAAAAATAAAATAGTTGCAGAGATATTCAACAGAAAAGAAGGAATTATCATCATTCATCATCATCATCACATCTCATAGCCTAAGCTGTTGGGATAATACAAAAATAATCAGGAGTATGAGTCCAGTTGCCCTTATATCAGGTACTTCAAGTATTTTCAGGCCAGCCTGAAAAAAAGTAATTTTGTACTGTTTAAGGGCAGCACCTTAGAAGAAAAAACCCTTTATTCTACCAAGCTGCACACAAAGTTGGTGTAAGTTTGACCATTGTGCCTTGTAGACCCATTAATCGGACGCTGTCGTGATGGACCTGTTTTGGTCTCAACATGGGTAGGCAAGACACAGTGTGAAATGACCAATACATGCACATCTCCATAATCTTATATGTCCATTTGAAAGAAATGAGATTGCTTCAGAAACATAATTGTTGTAAGCATTCAGTTGTACATTGTTTATTCGGAATGTGCATTTAGAGTGAACTGGCAGTGCACAAGAAGAAGATAGCGGAGGTAGAGGATTGGCTGAGACTACACGCCAAGCAGAGAAGACATGCTGGACAGGTATTGCTATTCATATGTTATTCGTATCTGAAAGGCAAACTGACCTACGGGCTCAGTGCACAAGCAACCCCACAACAGTAAGGGGAGAGTTGGGGGAGACCACTAAGAAAGAAAAGCGCCCTCTCTTGTTCGCCCCAGACCTATATGGATTTCTGGATTTGTCAGGAAGTAAAGACAATGTATCGATACAATGTAGTTTTGGCGCCAATGGGTTAAGGTGCCAGCTGAGATGCTTTGCTTATTAACTATTGGACCTGCACCCGATTTCACGAAGCGCTGCCACGCGTCCCAACTCGAGTTACGTGTAACACGTCGCAACTCGTAAGTTCCTTGACAACGCCTTAAAACACGTCGCAAGTGTCTAGTGGTCGTGTCTAGTGGTCGTCGCAAAAAAAGAAGAGTCATTTCTAAGCCAGTTTTATGCCATAAACATTACATTAACGAGATTATAATACCGAGGCAATGTGTGTGAAGTTGTAAATAGAAAATTCATTGAATAATTATGAATTAGACCGGAATATTAGAATTGACATTTCAAAGTAGCTATACAGTCCAATGAGAGTTTGTTTTCCTTCAAAATTGCATTGCACGGCCGCCATTTTAGTTTATGTTTTAACAAATTTCGAGCTGAGATCCGACGACTCTTTGTTGAGTATCAAACGACTATTAACTGTACGCTGACTAAATACATAAAACAGTCACCGAGTTGTGCTATAAATACACCTACGATGCCTCGCACTTACGACGTGTTTAGTTAAATGGATCGCAGGACGCGTCGCAGCTGCGACGCATCGTAGAGATACGACGCGTCGCATTGCTGCGATGCATCGTAAGTTACGAAGAGTTTGATGAAATCGGGTGCAGGATACTTAAATAAGTAAAGTGTTTTTGTTTCCATTTCCTTCAGACGAGAGCTCCCATCCTTCTCCTGACTGGGCCAGCCGGGACAGGCAAGACAGCCACCGTCCAGGTCCTAGCCAAGCAGTTACAGATGGAGGTTCAGGAGTGGTCCAATCCAGACACTGCAGCGTACGATCCGGACAGGCCAATGCAAGACAGACAAGGTGCTGCAGCTTTGCAAACTCTCTGTATTAATATTGTTGACCAGCATTGGCACAGAGTCATCATGGTCATGGTGCTCTCCAGTAATAGCTGAAGCATTGTGGAAGCTAATTGTTCAGGGTCGCTATAAAAAAAAAAAAGGAAGTTTTTCATCCCTGCCCGCCTGTTTTTTAATTCACACATTTTTAATATGTGTTGTCTTTTTATTTGTTTCCAACAAAATTGTAGCTATTTTGTAGAAAGTGTGATGGCTCCTTTGGACAAAATTTTGTATCAGGAAAAAATCGAGAAAATGGAGAAATACATCCGACATCTTTGGAAAATCCGCTGTCTTGTGAGGGGGGGGGGGGATTTGTTTTCTTTTCCAAAAGCCTAAAAGAGAAAGTGGTTTTTTTTTACTTGGCCTTTGTTTAGTAAAATAGTGTGTATATATGTAATGTGCTCGTGGAGTGTCGTGGTCTAACCGTTATGGTGTCCAAATCATGTGTGATGGGACAGGGTTTGGACCCTGACAGGGAACATGGTGGTTGTGTTCTTGGGCAGGACACTTTACTGCAATCGCCTCTCTCCATCCCGGAGTATAAATGGGTATGATATTGTGAAGCCTTGGTTCTGACTTGCACAGTGAAATTTCAGATATAAAATTGTTATTGTTTCTTGCAACCGAGTTTGAATTAACAGGAGTTGACCTTATTATCTTTTCTTTACTAGACTTCAATGTGATTGGCGGACCCATCAGCCAATCACAGACAGCGCTCTTTCAAGACTTCCTGACCAGAGCAAACCGTTATCCGACTTTGGAGCTGTTTGGGGGTCAGACGTCAACACAGAAACTCTGCCTTGTCGAGGTAACATAAACCAAAGCACAGTACTTTGATAAGTATTCCTGTTAATAACTGGCTTTCAACAAATCTCTCTGTTTCTTTGAAAATCTAAACTAACTGAAACAAAGTGAAATCAATTCAAATGTTTATAATTCCACAGAAATTCATTTTCGAATGAAGAAGTTTGTCATCACTCTACACAAATTTCATCTGTAGCTCTTTGACTACGGAATTAATCAAAACAATGCTTATGATTTTCAAGACAATTTTTTCTCGTCATCTCACATCTCTATTCATCTCTATTTTGAACCGCAATGGCAGCCCGCTGTACATTGTACACGCAGTCTGAATTGAACCCTACACTTTCTCTGAAGTACAGAAATGACATCTGTTCTCATTTTTTGTTTTTTAATTCTCTACTAGGTCCAGCTCTCATGGAGACGCAAAACAGAAAATATAGCTTAGCAAATGTACGTGCTAAGCAGTAATCAGCGGAGAACCAGTCACAAGCAATTAACATATCATGACATTTCCACTGGTAACCCGTTTTTGCTCAGCAGATTTTTTTGCACTTAGTAGCAAATTTCCGTGCTTACTTGCTCCATGAGATAAGCCCCTTGTTTCTTTCCAACTGTTTAGGAAATTCCCAACGCATTCTATAGAGATCCCCAGACCTTCCACAACATTTTACGAAAATTCACAACCACCGGTAGATCGCCGTTGGTCTTCATCATCAGCGATAGCTACGGGGGTGAATCCAGCGCCTTCAAGTTGTTCCCTAAGAACGTACAGGGTTCGTTGGGTATCGATAACATAAGGTGAGGACTACGAATGTGAAGTTAAAATGCTAGGGAAATGAGACAAAATATCATTCTGAACTGAACTGATTAAAAATCAGGACTGTCCCTTTTGATTAACTTTGATTGTTTTTTAGTACAGGTATTCAGCTTTTTTTTTCTGTTCTTCCGTACAGTATTCTAGAGGTAACAGGCTCCTATCCTGTTGAAGTCAAATTTGTTTTGTTTAACGTTGTGTAACTGACAAGATCTCATAGAATTTAAAGGGGCACTGGGTCCTGAAATCCCCGAAAATTTTATGTTATGTTTTCGATTGTTTACTGAGCCTATTTCAAACATCTGGTTGAAAGGAAACTAACCTAATGTCTTACCGTTCCCGAGAAAAAAACGAAAAAACCCTGCTTGTTTACATTGGACACGACGGAGTACAAATACTTTTTTTGTGTCGTTCTCAGTGTACGATATACACGTTGTGTGTCTCGGGAACAGCGGTGACCAATCACCAATGCAAAAAAAAGTGGTTTCTTCAAAGTCCGCAAAAGGAGAACTCTTTACGAATGAAATCACAACTAGCATCCAAACAGCTCGAATTTATGGGGTCGCAAAAGTGGACCCCGAAATTCGTTCTCGCACGCATAATACAGAAATAACACAAAAACGCCCAGTTTTGAAAGGATGGTTGTGTGGATGTTTATATCCTACTTTTAAATGTTATTTCCGATGAACATCATCTTGTTCAAAGCGCGTTTTGTAGCCCAATTGGGCTGTTCCAGGACCTAGTGTCCCTTTAAAATCCTCCACAAGTAGAGACTACATGTGGATTGTTTTTCTTCAAAGTGTCTTCATGAATATGCCCTCTAGTGCATGTATTTTTGTGGTGGATGTTTGCGGTGAATGTTTTGTGGTGGATGTTTTGTGGTGGATGTTTTGCGGTGGATGTTTTGCGGTTGATGTTTGTGGTGAATGTTTGGCCGTGGATGTTTTGTGGTGGACGTTTGTGGTGAATGTTTGGCCGTGGATGTTTTGTGGTGGACGTTTTGAGGTGGATGTTTTGCAGTTGATGTTTTGTGGTGGATGTTTTGTGGTGGATGTTTTGTGGTGGATGTTTTGTGGTGGATGTTTTGTGGTGGATGTTTTGCGGTGGATGTTTTGCGGTGGATGTTTTGCGGTGGATGTTTTGCGGTGGACGTTTTGCGGTGGATGTTTTGTGGTGGATGCTTTGTGGTGGATGTTTTGTGGTGGATGTTTTGAGGTGAATGTTTTGTGGTGAATGTTTGCGGTGGATGTTTTATGGTGGATGTTTTGCGGTGGATGTTTTGTGGTGGATGTTTGCGGTGAATGTTTTGTGGTGGATGTTTTGTGGTGAATGTTTGTGGTGGATGTTTTGTGGTGGATGTTTTGTGGTGGATGTTTGCGGTGAATGTGTTGTGGTGGATGTTTTGCGTTGAATGTTTTGAGGTGAATGTTTTGTGGTGGATGTTTTGCGTTGGATGTTTTGTGGTGGATGTTTTGTGGTGGATGTTTTGTGGTGGATGTTTTGTGGTGGATGTTTTGCGTTGGATGTTTTGAGGTGAATGTTTTGTGGTGGATGTTTTGCGTTGAATGTGTTTTTCCTTGCCATCAAGACTTGATCCCCATTTTGTCATTGTTTTTGTGTTTAGCTTCAACCCGGTTGCCATCACAAGTATGGTGAAGGTGATGACAAGAATAGCCACAACAGAATCCAGTCAGGTACGACATGTCAACAAGTATCTAGACCCTCAGGTTTTTTTTTAAAGAGAGTATGTGCTGTTATTCTATAAAGTCAAAGCTATATAGGTTTAGGCTGGATTTTTTCTCACAGAGTACCCTTTGGAGTTGAGTGTCTAAACTACAAAAAATGAGGCCAAAAATTTCTGCCGGTTTGGCATTAAGTTTTTTTGGGTCACTTGTGTTACAAAAAACGGCCCGGCAAAAAATTGAATGCCTTGCATTTGATAGTTTCCACATACTGTGCACTGTTGGAATAATCTTGTCAGTGCTTTTTTTCAGTGCCCTCGTAAGTCTACCGCAATTACAAAAAAATAATCAAAATCTTTTGAGAGATATCTTTTGGTAATTCGCGTTACGGTAACTCGCGTTACAGTTTGTCCACCCGTCTTCGGTACAAGTTAAGAAACTTTTAATCAAACAAAAACTCTAATCTTTGCCACGAAAGAAAAGTCACGGTAATACTTGCATTTTGCATGTGAAAACAAGATGCCAAGTTGACTACCTTAAATCCATAATTTTAACCCCCCAAAAAGTCTTTTGACAAAAAAGTACATTTGTCTATATTCCATCTGACTGGCACACCACTTTTACACTGCAGTTTGGTGATGAATTGTATTCGGTTTCATGTCTTTCTTTTCTTTTAGGGTAAACGAAGGTTTGCAGTACCGAGCAAAGCCACAATAGAAGCATTAGCCAATGCCAGCGCTGGTGACATACGCAGTGCGGTCAACTCATTACAGTTTGCTTGCCTAAAAGGTATGATATTAAGGGCAGTTTAAACCGATAATTTGAGCGACCAATTCACTCCTAAACTCAGGATATCAAGCCTGATGTCAAACAGATCCTGCACCCAGGTTGAACCTATGTTCAGATCCTAGGATGTCTGGATGTCTGTTCAAACTACAATTTTTTATATTTTCAGCTCAAACGAGTTATCGGTAGTTGGCAATAATTGCTTTGGTTTACCATTTTAGGCCTGATTCTTACCTCGAAGAATTTTTAGCTGGAAACTTGTTTTCCCGAAGTCAATTTTCTTTGCCAATTACTGGGTTCAGCAGTTCGAAAAATGGTCAACGTAAAATGGTTCAAATAAAGGTCTATCATAAGTTAATCACATAGTTTTCAGAACCTGTGCAATTCTTAATGTTCTGATTGTGTCGCCCTCTGCAGATACGCACGATCTTGACAAAGCCCTGGTCAGAAACCCTTCAAAACCGTCCAAGGGCAAACACGCCGGGAAGCAGATGGGCGACAAATCAGGCCGACAGAAAAGAGAGAAAGCGAGCGTCGAGGACTCGACCCTGTGTGCAATCGGTGGCAGAGACACATCCATGTTCCTGTTCAGAGCTCTGGGAAAGATCTTGTATTGCAAACGTAAGAATTGAAGTGACAGTTGAGGGGGGATTGTCATAACATTTGTACTAAAATTGCTTGGTATGGTTTAGAAGAAAAGTTGTCAGTCACAAGTTGATCTCATATCAATCACAAGTCAATCACAAGTCACATCAAAAGTCCATCACAAGCTAATCACAAGTCGAATCACAAGTCCATCACAAGTCCATCACTAGTCCATCACTAGTCAAGTCACAAGTCAATTACAAAGGTACAAATCAAGTCAAAATTCAAGTCAGAAGTCAATCACAAGTCAGTCATAAGTCAATGAACAAGTCAGTCACAAGCCAATCACAAGTCAATCACAAGTCAAGTTACAAGTCAAATCACAAGTCAATCACAAGTCAAGTTACAAGTCAATCACCAGTCAATCACAAGTCAAGTTACAAGTCAAATCACAAGTCAATCACAAGTCAATCACAAGTCAAGTTACAAGTCAATCACCAGTCAATCACAAGTCAAGTTACAAGTCAAGTTACAAGTCAAATCACAAGTCAATCACAAGTCAAGTTACAAGTCAATCACAAGTCAATCACAAGTCAAGTTACAAGTCAAATCACAAGTCAATCACAAGTCAATCACAAGTCCATCACAAGTCAAATCACAAGTCAATCACAAGTCAATCGCAAGTCAATCGCAAGTCAATCACAGGTCCATCACAAGTCAATCACAAGTCCATCACAAGTCAAATCACAAGTCCATCACACGTCAATCACAAGTCAATCACAAGTCAAGTCACAAGTCAATCACAAGTCAATCGCAAGTCAATCGCAAGTCAGATCGCAAGTTATTATAAACAGGCCAGATCACGAGTAACAGGATGAACAATTACAAAGGAATGCTTTTGTAGCATTTCATACGACTAGTTTGTGACATGCTTTGAGACTGGATGGCTGTTTTTCAGTCCCTACCTGATTCTGAAGGGTTCCCACAGAATTTTCTAAAACTGCAATTTCTTTATAGTATTCTCTCTACAGGTTTCTTCTGGTTTGTCTGCTTACAGTGCCTAGGGCGCTTTTGAGGAATCCTTGGTTTCGTTACCAGAAATAAATATCAAAAATAATTACAAATATTAACTTATGTCTCTTTTTTTGATAACAGGAGAACCAAAGACACAGACAGACCCTGTGTTACCGCCACACCTATCTCACCACGACCGGGACAGACTGAAAATCCACCCAGAGGTTATTTTAAAACAATTGTAAAATTGTGTTTCTTTGGTTTAACATTAGTATCATTTTGAAATATATTCTGTGGAAAAAAAGTTTTGTGCTAGTGAGAGGGGCCAATTTTGTATACCTGCTGAAAACATGAACCACAGAAACAAAGGACTCTGCCTACCTGTCAATCAAACAATACACATTAACCAATAAGATCAGGACTTTCGGTCATGTGACCTACAACTGGGTCAAACTGAGTCACTAGCACTGTGAGAAATAAACACAAACTAAAAGTGGGCGGGGCTTATGACCAAATGGGGACTGGTCCAGTCTATCAAAACATGAACGATAAAGAATAGAATGCTGATTGTGAAACTATTGAAATTGAACAGCCAATATATTTCCCCTTCTGTAGGACGTGCTGGAGCACACGCATATGAGCAGTGAAAACTTTAATCTCTACTTGCACCAGAACTACTTGGACTTCTACGAGCATCTTGATGATGTTGTGGAAGCAAGTCACTACTTCAGCGATTCCGATCTCCTCACATGTGAATGGAGGGTGAGATGTTTTTGTTTTGTTAGTGGTTTTGCTGTTGTTCTGTTGTGTTTTCTTTTCTGTTTTGTTACTGCAAATGTTTCTGTTTTTCTGTTGCTGCTGCTGCTATTGCTACTATTACTACTATTGCTACCTTGTTAATGCTGTTGCTGTGACTCTGGTGTTGCTGTAGCTGTCTGTTGGCGCTGATAATGCTGTTGTTGTAGCTGTTACTTCTGCTGTTGTTCGATTTGCTGCTGTTAATGCTGCTACTGCTGCAGGCACGAATGCTGTTTTTGTGTTGTTGCTGCTGCCATTACTGCTGTTATCGCGAGTGCTGTTGCTATTTTTTTGTTGCTGCTGGTGCTGTTACTGCTGTTGTTGCAGCTGTTAGTTCTGCTGTTGTTTTTGCTGCCACTGTTGCTGCCCCTTTGTTGCTGTAGCTGTTTGTTGCTGCTGCCATTGCTGCTGTTTCTGCTGCTGCTTCTGCTACTACTGCTGTTTCTGGGGTTTTTTTTCTTTCTTTTTCAATTGGCAGTTGCTGCTGTTGAGGTTGCTGCTGCTGTTGTTGCTGTTGTCATTGTTAAGTTGTTGCTACTGCTGTTCCCTTGTTTGTGCTGTTGCTTTGCTGTTTTGCTGCTTTTGCTGCTGCTATTGTCGATATTGCTGCTACTATACTGTTGCTGATGCTAGGCTGCAACTGCTCCCTTTAATTGCTAGTGCTGTTGGATTTTTTTCTGCTGTTATTTCGGCACTTGCTGCTGTCGCTACAACATTTGCCGTTACTGCTGCTGGTTGAAAATGACGGTACTTTTTAGATTCTTCATTCTTAGGGCTCGGTTGAAATATTTGAGAAGCACTGTTTCCATATTACTCTTCAAGAATTTCATCATTACTTGTGAAAGTATTGTGGAAAAAATGACTGAAAAGTAGTCTTAAGTCCGCTCAACATTGAGATAGCACTCTGCTGTTTTACTTTCATCATGACAGTCAAGATCATCGATGACAACATACGGTGCCTCTTTGACATCCCGAGGAGTCATTCACTGTAACACAGCCAGGAGTCGGTGCAATAGTACGAGCGGTGGGGGCTGGAAACCGCTACATAAACCACAGTGGTTTGAAATCAACAGAAAGGTAGACACTTCCCTCTGTGCACATAGACATCAGTCATTGTTCCAAGGGGAATAAGGGTTGGGGGATGACTAACCACCACCCCCGCCAACTCCACCCCCTGCCCCTCACCCCCATCTCCACCTCCCCCCCCCCCCCCCCCCCCCCCCCCCCCCCCCAATTCGACCTGCCTCCACCCCTTACTGATCCATGTTAATTATTTTCCAAAATGAAAACAATACCAAATTCCTGAAGTCCCCTGAATCTTGACTCAAAGCTTCAGGCTTTTCAGATTTGTTTATACGTTGACTGCAATGCCCCATCCAACCCTCCTCCCCTTTCTCGGTCGTCAACATCCCAGCATACCCCCTTTGGAAAATCCTGGATCTGCAACCTTTTTTGACCGTTGATGAAATGGTTTGAAGTGGTACTTTTTAACTCCCACTACATGTTTGACCAGTCTTGTGGGAAAATACAACAAATAGCCTTAGTATTTTGACAGTTTAAACATTTTCACTAAATATTACAATTTAGACTCGGTGTAATAAATTTTAGAGTAAGCAGACCAATCCCATATTGATAAACAGCTCTGTCCAAAATAAACTGGCTGAACAGATCAAAGTACGTTATACGAATCTCAGAATTATCAAGAGAGAAATAATGGCACAATTGTTGAAATTTAAATATAAACACAGCTGAGATTGGTCCCAGGTCACTGTCAGTGTTTGAACAATCACAAGTCAGCGAAACAACAGAAAATGTTCTTGCACATGTTACAAAAATTTTAATTTGAGAGAGATGCATTTCTCCTTTCTGAATCTTGTAATAATTCCTCCATATTCATACCTTGTACATGTTGTATCTAGGTTTGAACCAAATTCTCAAGCTCAGGATTTTTCCACTTCAAGAAAATGATATAAACATTCACTTATCCTAAAGCACTATGAACCATACCAAGTGAAAGCTTATTTTATGCATTTGTTCCAAATAATGTACCGGTATCTATGACGTCTACTCAATTAAAAGTTGGTTCATACTTCACGCAAGTGCAAATTCGAAGCGAATTTGACTTCATGAAACATTCACTGCAAAATTGGCCGGTGATGAAATGTGTTCAACATTTGCGAATTCGCAGGGTGAATACTTTACACGGCGTCGCAAGTCGCGTTCATTTTTGCGCCGAGTATGAACTGGCCTCTACTTTCTTTTTCTACAGTACAATGAAAGCTGTGCCGGTGCTAAGGGTTTGTTTGTTGGTCATTGCTGGACTCCAGTGGAGCTTCAGACGCAGCTCTTACCCTACCTTGCCGTCATCAGTGTGCCCCTCGAAAACCCTGGTATGTCATAATAGTGGACTCTTCCAAATTGGGCCATAATTCCCCGGCTGGCCCGCCCGCTAATTTTTTTTTTCCCAAACGACATCCACATATGGGTGTACGCTATGGCGGTTTGGACTTTACTTTTCTAAAAACATGAGGGAAAAAAAAAAAAATTAGAAAAAAAAAATGACTTCGAACGTTTTGAAATTCGGACTTTATTTTCCTTTTAAAAAAAATCATCCAAAGCCTTAGGTTAGAAAAGCCAACAAAATTTGGGTACAAAACCGAGACTCGAACCCGCACCCTGGCTGTGCAAAATCACAATCTTGTATCGACTGAGCTACCACACTGCTCGCCAAATCTTGGAGAAAATAAGAATCATATATCGCGTACGTATCACAAAAGTATCGTAGAGGGCGCTAAACAACCACATATGCGGATGTTGTTTATGAAAAGAAAATTCGCGGCCCGCCCACCTTTGGTTTGCGACATTTCTAACAGTGCTTGAAGGCATTTTGTTTGTGTCCAATGATAACACCACTCAAAATCCAAAGAATGTTCAATATCTAACCTGTTGAAGTTTCAGCTCAGTGGATATGACAACTTGTGATCAAAATCTTAATCCTTTGAGTGTGTCATGACATTTGTATGTGTGTCCCAAGGTTCAAAAGCAGATGGTGGGGCATGCATTTGCTATACCACTTCCCTCAACCCACTCCCTTTTTCTTTTTAACTTGAAATCATTTTTTTTAATGAGGGAGTATTTATCAAATTATAGGTTTTTGCCCTTCAACGACATTTAAACACTGTATACTCAGTGTGTTACCTCCCGAGTGAAAGTTGGAAAAAATCACTCGGGTGGGACTCGAACCCAAGACCTCCTGCTTTCTAGTGCAGATGTCTTACCACTCAACCACCAAGCTAACGGGATCAGTTGGCTGATTCGAATCTGATGTACATAGCAGCGGGTACCGCATAAACTACCAACCGATCCCGTTAGCTCGGTGGTCGAGTGGTAAGACATCTGCACTAGAAAGCAGGAGGTCGTGGGCTCGAGTCCCACCCGAGTGATATTTTTCCAATTTTCACTCGGGAGGTAACATACTGAGTATACAGTGTTTAAATGTCGGTGAAGGGCAAAAACCTATAATTTGATTTATATTACCCTGACGCAAAAATTCCATCTTATAATAGAAGGAGTATTTATTATTATTTTCTGGTAATGAAACCAAGGATTCCTCAAAAGCGCCCTAGGCACATGTACAATGTAGGTCGCAAGCCTGAAGAAACCTGTAGAGAGGAGACAATGAGAAGAAATTACAGTTTTAGAGGTGGGAGGAAAACCCCAGAAAAATAGTCTGGGGAAACCCACGGAATCAGGCAGGGACTGGAAACCCAATCCACATGTGGACCAGAGCGGGATTTGAACCCAGGCCATAGAGGTGGAAGGCGAGGAAAGAACCACAGCATCAACAAAACTCTTTTAATTATGGAGGCACATGGTCGGCATTTTTGTTCACAGGAAGCTGATTTTTTTTAAAAAAGAAAGCATTCTATACATTAGGCGTACAATATGTCATGTAACTTTGCATATTAGAAATATCCCTCGTAAAATCTCTAACCACAAGAATTTTTTGTATGCACATGTACAAAAGTTTCACTGCCAAGCAATAAATTCACAGCATGTAAACATCAAAGTACCGACTATGCCAGTACATGACAATAACAACAGACTGCTTTTTTATGCGTGTTTCTACTGCACACTGACAGAATGCACAACTTAATCCAATCACAATAAAAGAATTTAACAAGCGCATTGCAAAATATGTATGAATGCTGTTTCTGTAATTGATGTTAGGAAGTTTCTTATGTCCTTTTTGTTAGTGGACGATAAAGGCAACTTAGCTGTGACTGACTCAGTCAAAATGAGGAACAAGTGTACAGCTACGTTTTGAGAGGGTCTAGTGGAGAGTCCCTCACAAAAGCCTCAGAAATTATCCCTCACTTTGACAGAGCAGATCAACTACCGAATAATTGTAAAGTCTATTTCACTGAAATTGCTAATTCAATTTAGTACATTCAATTTTTCATCACTATGCTACGGCAGTCTTGGGATCTTTTCATTTGTGAAGCAGAGACTGAATGTGATCATAAAAAACTCTGGAAAATTGAATTATGAACTAAGAACTGTACTCAATGCACGATTCTCCCTAGAGCACGGCAAATGTATTCAGAAGTACATGTGGATGGAAAAAAAATGTAAGAAAACATTTCAAACTTTCCACATCTTTATATGTGAGATGTTCTGGCAGAATGAACAGAACTGGGCAGAGGTTGAAATGAGGATTTGTGAGTATTAAGAAAGAGAATAAAATTATCCTTACAAGTTTGTTTGTTGCACTTCAATTGGACGTTCCATTGACAAGTTATGGCTGGTTAAACTTAAATAAACGTGTGGGTTTTTTTTCATATTTCTTTTTCCCCACAATTCCTTACCCACATAGTTTCCTCTGTCACACATGAGGATATACATCTTTTGCATGTCGGCCATCTTTGAGGTGTGCTTTTGTTTGACAGGCCCCTTGTGCCTCCATTGTTATCCAAATAAAATACAAACAACTCAAATATCACTTGAATGCAAAAGGTCTATTAAGTTTATGTCCCATTCCAAACTAACATAGATGGATTTCTACAGACAAGTGTTTGAACATGTGTTTTCATGTCATTCATTTCATGCAGGTCAGATCAATTTCCTGCAAGAAATCACCAGATTTACAAGCAACCCCTTTGGAAGAAGGTAGGATTTACATGGCACAGATAATAGTTTATTTTTGTAGAAAACAGGTGTTTTTTTTCACACTTTCATGACTCAAATTCTTCCATTTCTTTGTTTCACACTGTGATAATATCAAATATGCAATCCAATATGTTACAAAAACAAGCTCTTGTAATTTATTACTCATTTTGATGGAGCTATTTGATAAAAACATGTATCTCTTTTAAATTTTTTTTTCTCTTAATGTGTTTAATAATAAAACATCTTATGGCAGTGTATTTTTTAGCTGCGGGATAGTAGCTCAACAAATCATCATATCTCTCCGTTGTTAGTCAGTTAGTTAGTTAGTTAGTAACAAACGTTGACATTGTCTATTGCTCCTACATATTTTGCCTGATTTCAACCCAACTTTGTCAAAAGTATCAAAAGCCAGGCCCAACTTGTCACATGACCAGACTGGGGTCAAAGGTCATCATAGATTCACTGGGGTCCAAAATCTGATTTTTTTTTTTTACTCCAAACACTACTCATACCAGAAATTACATTTCACCATCACTACTCATGCATGAACACGCATTAGTTGGGCTGAAGCTTCCGAGATCCGATGGAGCTTGTGTTTTTATTGAGTCAGTTTCATATTCTTGTTTATCTTATTTGATTTTCAAGTCATTTATTCCTTAGCAGCCAGCACATTTTTTCAAACTTGATATTATATTTCTTTTAACTTCTTGCTCCTCAGACGAAGACTGGAAAAGCTGGAAGAGAAAGACAACGTGAGCGAGGATGAAGACGAGGACATCGTTAGTTCACAAGGGGTAAAACTGGCACCCCAGAGAAGACCCCACATCACACCTGAGCACACAGACCCCCTCATGACGCAGAGCAAACCGGAGGACAATGAGATCATCATTGAGGAGTTTGATGACTGACTTTAGAGCACACAAACAGGGGCGTCGCCAAAGGGGAATGCGAGGGGGGGGGGGGTGTTGTGACACCCCTGCCCCTTATTTGTTTTTGTTGGCAAAATTGTTGTCCTGACGTCAAAATCGTGTCTGTCAGCAAAACTGCCAGAATGGACATTGTAGATTGTGTCAAAAATCGACCACTTCGGACAGCGCCCTCATTATTCAGATGATGTCCATCCCACCCCCAACCCCCACCCCCCACCCCATTATGTAGCACCTTGATCAGGGTTTACAAGGTGCTGTGGCGCCTATTGCAGCCACTGCCAGAAACACCGGGGCAAACCCCTTCTCTTAGCGATAAGTAATACTGGGTTCTTTAACGTGCATTACACAACGCACAGGACCTAAACGGCTTTACGTCCCATCCGAAGGACGAAGCAATAATGGTAAAGTGCCTTGCTCAAGAACACAAGCACCATGTTCCCTGTCAGGATTCGAACCCAAGGATCTAAGTGAGTGGACATTACTCACAGAATCTTGTTTCTTGAAGAAGTTTGTTTCTGACAGTAAATAAAGCCCCAAAACAGGGTCTCATTCAACGTTTGTTGAAATTTAGCCAAAACATTCTCAGTTTTACAAATTTCAAGAAATGGTCTTGAAAATCCAAAACAACACTCTCTCGAAGATTGATTCTGTTGAGTTTTCCTTTAAGACTTCCAATTGTTCCAGTGCAGAACTTCCCTGAAACTTGGGAAAAAATCTAAATTGTTCTTGACTGAAAAATGGTAAACAATCTGCAAAAGGAAGTCTATTCCTGCTAGTTGTGGAATCAAAATAAATAAAGAAATCATTCATTGCCAAAGAGGATATACAATATAATGCTTGCCTAAGTATTAGCTCACTTCAATCGTGATGTATATTTTATTATTTTTGGAAACAAAATGTTGCAACCTGACGCCACTTTTTCTCTTCATTAATCATCTCAATGAAGGTCAGTCATTGCAAAAATGATGATAAGACATGAATCTGGGACTGAGAAACATTTCCAATTTTGTTAGGAACTACTTAGAAAATTTTCTTGACTCTCCATATACTTTGTACACAACCGCTGAAGTGGCGTCAGGTTGCAATATTTTTTCCTTATTTTTGGCTGAAAGCCTTTTCTGTGCACGCCCTTAAAAGTTAAAACTACATAGCCACTGTATGTGCCTTATTTATGTTTGGAAGACGAAATTGTAAATCTTGTACCTATATTGCATGTGTGCGTGTTCTATTTCTTTGTATAGAATTTATTAAAGAAGTGCAACAAACAGTATTTGAAGAAAAAAAATTGCTGTTCATTTCGACTTTCATTTTGTGTGATTTACGTTTTTATTTGCCCCAATTTAAAAATTGTACATAGAAATTAAATCTGCAGTAAATCCGTTGCTGTGGCAACGGGCTGGATTCCTTTACTACCATGAACAGAAATGTTCAACTTAAGAGGCTATCGCATTGCAAGATTTTATTTCCATGCCCGAGAATAATGGCAGAATCAAGCAAATACACAACACAGAACCTAGCTGAATGAAAGCTTTTAGCAGTTGAAAGAAATTTCAGTCTGCTATGTTGCCGATAATTTCCAAATGTCAAGTGTGTGAAGAAAGGCACGGGAATTACTCGGCACAAATTGATGCATGTCATAGTTCTGATATATATTTCTCAAATCCGATGTATTAATTCCATTTCAACAAGGTATAAAACAACTTTTTATTTTCTCAGATTTACAGACAGTCATACACAATATTAATAAAATGGGTTTACCAATAGCATCTTTGTCAATTCTTATTTGGTAAGCGATCACTACAATAAACGCCTCTATATGTTCCGTCCACTAAAAAGACACCATTATTTCAATTAACATCGAAAGGCTTAATTTAATTCAGGATTCATTGTTGTGCTTGTATAGATGTGGACGGAAACTCTTTTAAGTTTTTTTCTCAGACGATTTCACATGACCTCTTCTCCTTGTAGGGGTTATAGGTCATGACCCCAGGAAGCAGCGGGTCTTTATGATAGCACATGTCACAGTAATCCTATACAAATGAAAAGAAAGGAATGCAAAAAAAAAAAAAAAAAAAGAACACGAAATTTCAACAAAGCTGGCATGAAAAAAAAAATCGAAACTACATGTATAAATTAAAACAAGACAACCAAAGAAATAGGTTAATAAATAAACAAATGAATTTAAAGAAATTGAAACTAAAAGAGAAGTACGTCACGTAATAACGGCAAGAAAATTGGATCATTTTTAATGACTGTGACAAAAAAGTTAATTTGTTACAACTCAATCAATAAACCTATCGCAGTAGAATCGCGTCAACGCAGTTTGTGAAATGTCCAATTACATGATATACAAATGGACGCGGAACGCGCAACATCTGAGACAAACAAAACTTAACGTACAGAATCCCATAGGGTTTGTCTAAGGGGCGTGGCTAACTCGCAAACGGCGATAGGTCAATTATTACAATTGTAAAACACAGTTGAAAAGAAAATGCATGTCCTTTTACCAAAACTCCAACTTTCAAATAATGAGCCCGTCGCCATTGGGCGGAATGGGCACCTCTGATAAGTCTTGATTATAAGCTTTGTAGACCTATAGGCCTACTTAGCCTACTTACCGCAAGGAACCACCCCGATTCAGATACTTTGGCGCGGTCGATGTTGGCCTCTTTGCGAAGTTGTTCCACCACCTTCCGGAGTTTGCTGATCTGGAGTCAAGGGGGGCCCCAAAAAGAGAGAGAAAAAAAATAGTCATACCAAATTGAAAGAGACAAAATCAAAGCGGTTTTCAGCAGTGCTTATATCGCTGGGCTTAACTCAGCCTGGGACCTTGAGTGCAGAAAAACATACAAAACAAAATCAGGCCAACTTTACTCACTCTTTAGCTGACAAAAGTATCCATATTTTTCATATTAGGCAAAAGCCAATATTTCACCAGCCAAATTTGAGGTCTCAATTCACTTTTTTAAAGGAGACTTTTCTTCAACATTGTGCACCTGAGAATGAAGCTGAGTGATTTCAATTTGAAGCCCAGACCTAAGGCTAGACTGGTACATGGCCAACTTTTTGAAAAGATGGATTTTTAGTAGTCTGGTGACCTGACTATGTGTAGACATAGAGAATGTGTAGAAATGGAGACCAGGTATCAGATGTTTCTTTTGACACAGTTGACTGATGCAGTACTAAAAGGGTGTACTGTTGGACTGGTTGTTTCATGCGCCAGGCTATATTTTATTGCATTGCATGTTTTTACCTTCTTAAGTTTTGGGACTCTCATATACAGTATCCCAAATTTTCAAACTAGGCTTAACTTATAGAACAACAAGGATCTGTAGCTCACTTACAGTTTTCATTTGTTTTTAATAAAGTGAATTTTGTCTTCTGCGTCATCACTAAAATTGTGATATTTTTGTTTTTTAGGTATGTGCCTTTTAGCAAAAACTGTTCTCTTTTTCCCCCCAAAAATGTGCATAACAAAACAGGGAAAGATTTCCATATACGAAGTTCACTCAACACCCTGGGTACAAACCCTATGAGATTGGACTGAAAAATTTTAAGTGTTTTCTAAGAAAATGCTTGTATTTTCTCACTGCTCAATTGACTTTGATGACATGAAATTGCTATCTGGGGGCTTGTTAGTCAATACAGAGGAAAATTAGTGAACTTCGTATATGGAAATCTTTCCCAAAACAGATGCAGAAATAAAACAACAGGGTATGTTGTTTTCTGCAATTTTAATTTCCGCATACCTGTGAAGAAACTTGTACGGGTTGCTTTGATCTATCCATCGTGCTTTCTGTACAATACCTTCGCTGAAAAAAGAAGAAAATCAACTGTGTTAATATGTAGGAACATGGATCAACACTAAAGAAAGTTTAACTGCATAGGCCCTACATCGATTTTTGGGGAAGAAATCCACACATGGACATCACTAATTTTCCCTGCAGTTTTTTTTTACCAGCCATCAGAGAACGATAACATGTCCTAAATAGTCAGATTTAGCAGGGAAAATACTGAAGCATTTACTAAAAAAAAAACACTTGGGAATGTTTCAGACCAGTGATGTCCGGGTATGGAACTCTTTCCGATTTGCGGACATTTAAAAAAGAAAATCCCTACTTATTTGCAATGATTGAACCCCCCTGATGTTAGGCCTACATGTGGTAAAACGTGGCATGGCATCAGAATACATCCAAGATTGAAAAAAAAATCTCAAAAATTGGAAAGTCAAATCGGACATTCTCCCTTTAGGCCTAACTTTACTTCGTAATCAGTAAGCACGAAACAAACATGGCGCCTGAAGACCTCAATTCTGTCCAATCTGTTTATTTTTTTTATTGTCTTCTTGTCTTGATGAATACTGCACCAACACCCCTTCTCAGGGGTCACACATATCCTTCCTGCTTGTGCAATTCATTCAAAACCTAGCTGTTACGTTCATCTATTGAGGGGAGAAAGCAAGTCTAAGTTCTTACCGATTAAACTGATGTTACTTCCAACAGGCTGGTTTGAGGTGGTTTATTCCGAAGCAACCTTGATACTAGAAACCCAGTGTCAACTGACAGTGAAAGTTATACGCATGACGCACGTGCTAAGACTAAAAAGAAGGGACGAAAAAAGCTAATGAGGCCCTTTGTCTGTCTCGTTTCCGTTGGCGACCTCCGCCTCCTTTATTGTTCCATCTTAATAGGCTTCTACTTGCAATCCTGCCGTTCATTGCCTCACAAACAACCCTTTCATTTAGTATATAATTGGAATTTTCTCCCGAATTCTTTGCAAAACTGGCTTGTTTTGTCGACATACCTTCTTCACGTGTTTCTTTGTTGATGTTTGCCTTAGCGGCATTCCTTAATTGTTTCCCCTTCGTATTGCTACTGCGGAAAAGAATGTAGTGTTTTTTGCAGAGCAGAGCTAATTTCAGGCCTTTCACATTGTTCATTGACGTATTCAGCGGTGGATCCAGCTGGATATGGCAAGCAATAGAAACGGGGGCCAGTAGGCCTATATGGAACTCAATTTCTTTTATCCACTTGCGTTTTTGTAAACCTGGATCCGCAACTGATATTTTACCAAGTCTTCAAATCATGTTTTTTTTTCTCCAACTGTCTTCTCCCACTTTGCACTCAGCTGTATACTCAATCCTCGAATGAATTAACTTTTTTTAATCAAGGACTCCCATCTTCCAGCAAGGGAAGTGAAAAAGGAAAAGCTAAAACCAAGACTAAAAATAAAATGGCGGTTAGTATAGCTGCTGTTCGCTCCACGCCACTTCCCCACCTAAAGAATTAATCGCCGTGCCATTAACATTTATTATTTCCCTCCTTTATTTATTAATGGAGGGACCTGTTAGACACGGCGTCGCATCTTCAAACGTGAGGGATGTAAAAGCGCGCCGGAGAAACGCGTGACCGACCGTCCGCCGAGATAACAATGAGTGCGAACAAACACCACCTTGCCGGAACGCCATAGAAACGGTCTCGGAGCACACGCATGAATAAAAGCCGTTGCCATGCCAACGGAGTGACATTCTCCGAGCTAGGAGAGGATTCGTGCGTGTGTGTCTGTGTCTGTATTATTGTCTGAAGCTTATGAATTGAGGCGAATTTTATTTCAAAGGATTGAGCGTCAGTTGCTTTTTTATTGAAGGCACTTCCTCAGGAACAATTCCAAAAGCCTTTCAAAGCATACCAATTATATGCGATTAAAATGAAAATTGCCAGAATTGTTGTGATGCTGCCGACAATTTAGTGTCTGATAACGACAATAATTTGCATTAATTGTTTCATTTCTTTCTCCATCGTTAGTTGTGAAATTATCCTCAGAACTTACCACGGTTATTAACGGCACACGACGATATGTATTTAATTTGGGTCAGGCTACGCCGACTGGACACAATTAAGCTCTTCGAAGTTTCCGACTCTATTTCTGGAAATGATTGGCGCACTGAAATTTGTGGCGTAAGAAGGCTCACGTTCCTTCAATGTTTGCATGCGCAACTAGGGCACTTGAAAACACGGGTCACGGGGTCTTAATTGTATTAATTTGAAATCGGTCTACGTTTCAGCGACGATTTCCAATGTCTCGTTTATTTTTAAAGCTCATAAAAGTAATATCGAAAATACCAGTCAAAAATTCTCCAGAAAAGTTCGGAAACGATACTAACAAAAAAACACCGATAAAAAGATACAATCACTTTCCAAGTAAAATTTATTGAGTTACCTTTTTTTTCCACTGAAACGGAACGGATAATCTACGCCTAAAATAGACTTGCTTTTGAGAGATGTGATATATAAAAACTACCGACATGTATACTTGTGTGTTTTAAAAATATTTTAGACATAATAACTATTTTCATGAGGACTTTTTTTTATTCCTAAATGTTGTCGTTCACATTAGGCTGCAGTGATCATTTTAGCAAGCGGTACTTTGAGCCTTTAGTACGTGCCGAATATATGACATCATGATGAATCGGTATTCAATCATCAGAACATGATTGTTTTTTTTTTATCCCTACTATACTTATCTCACTGACTGACTGATCGACCGACTGCACATGTGAATTGGATTTGCAAAAGCATCCATTTCGCCAAAATAATTGCCTCAGATGACATCCTACATGTCCTCTACAGGAGACCAGACCAAGTTGGTCTGGGACCAGACTTACCCTAGTCTCGTATTATGCAAATTGTTCAAAACAAAACAATGAGTCTACAGTCTAATTTTTGCATGAATGCAAATCGAGAACTGGGCGGTGCCATATTGTTCTTCTGCCATATATCGCGTTGTGAGATTTCAAAATAATGAATACATACAAAAGCTCCCAGTTCCTTATAATGCACACAAAACTATTGCCATTAATACTGATCAACAATATGAAACTTACTCGCGACATGAAACAGCCGTTAAAGTCATACAGCATGTCAGTAACGGCTGTTTGATGTCTGGAAAAAGTAACTGTAATATCCATTGCACTGAGCAGTGCCTTTCTAAAGGCCATCTACTTCATTAAAAGGTCATCTATCTGTAAAATTGAGAACTTCTACGAGACGAAAAAGTTAGGCCTTCAAGTTCCACCATTTGGTCCAATATCTCTGTCAAAAATCCATGGCAATAACCGACTATTATACTGAAACCAGAGAAAAGTAATAATAAGGCCGGACTTTTTTTTCTCCTTTTCATCTGGTAACATCGAAATATTATTAACCAATATATAAATAAAGGCCATTCCTTTCACAACAACTAGTAGGATCTTTTCACTGTTTATAATTGAAAACTTTCTCGAGTGATAAGTTTTTGCAAAGGTTTTAATTAACTATAAATTCAAAACCAATTGTTCTAGCGCCCATGTATTTCTCTGACAGTACGTTCAATAGAAACCGACTAAATGCACGTCTCTTTTTTACCAAAACAATACCAAACATATAAAATAAATAATTCGTTTGTATTACTATACCTTTGATCGATGTGCAGTTAATAAAAACATAATCATGACATTTTGGGCTACGGGGGTTTTCTAATGTGAGTAAAATCCAACCAATATCTAAACGAACGAAATTTCGTTTGGGAAACCATCTTTCGCTGCCGCATTGGTTTCAATTCAGACATCACTTTGCGATATCCGTGTAAAAAGGTGTGAAGCGACAAGATCGTGTGTTTATCTGCAGTGGTCCCATCTGATAAAGAAGGAACTGCTGACCAAAAAAACACAGTCGAAATAGCTGGTATAATTATCTAATGTATCTAAATTCACCAAAACCGTATTATTTACACTTAATATTGAGTGCTATAATATCTTTAATTTTTAGGTGTATTCTTTCCTTTTTCGGCAAATAATTTAACCTCGTTCCCAGACCTATCAGCTACGAAAATAATATAAGCAAAGATGGTACAGGCCTACGTTCAACACGTTCACAGAAATAATATCAAGAAACAATTCATTATTATTTATAACCGCACAATTTGTAAATAGTGAAAATACATCAAGTTAAAGTGAAAGCGTGAAGCGTATTTTGGCAACGGTGACTGATTATCAGTTCACCGATCAATAAATTGATATATCCATACACATTTTCCAATCAATCAATATATCGATCAACTGGTTGATCGTCTATCGATCAATGTATCGATCCATCAATCCATATACGCTACGTATTGATTATCTATATATCTAATTTAGAACGGAAACGTGCAAGTGCGAAGCAAAAAAATCTGATATAATTATTATGTCTTTCAAATCGAGCGCTTTGTGAAAAAGGAGTTGCAAAAGCTATTCTCTTAAAAATGCATTTCGTTGACAAATTCTCCAACAAATTCTAAAATGTCATACATTTTCTATAACAAAAAGCAGACCACCAGCAAATGTATTGATTACTTTCTACAAAGCAATTATTGCCCCTATATCTGAAAAAAAAGACGATCAAGTACCACTAGAAATAAGAGCAAAAATACCTCACCAGCCTCTACTTGAATTCCTGGAGAGATTTGTATTCGATTAAATTTTACTGGTGATGGAAATCCATTATTTAAATTTACAGCAGTTCATAGTGTGCGAACGCTTTTTATATCATAACGATATTTGTTTTTTGCCAAAAGCATGTTGAACTAAAGTACCACTTATACTACTCGTAAGAAATCAAGGGTGATGAGTGTACCGTGCTGTTTGACAACATGAAAAAATGTACAGTGTAAAATGAAAGAATTACTATTGTCATCTTATAAAATCGTGCATGCTTTCTTCTCCTTGAAGGGATTTAGGTTGGGGGGCACTCCTAAGACAAGGTAGTCCTCTTGCGAGTTATTTTGACAATATGCCTGAAAGGATAAACACACGAATGAAACTTGGGATAAATGTATCACAAAATAAGTCACTGTGACCTTTTTCGTTAGCTGCTGGTATAAATCATCTTGTCTCTCCGTTAGTTAGTTAGTAAGTTAGTAACAAACGCTGACATTGTCTATTGCTCCTACATATTTTGACCGATTTCTACCAAACTTTGTCAAAAGTATCGGTAGTCCAGCCCCATCATTTCACTGGGGAAAAAAAGCTGATCAAAACACTACTACTTCCAGAAATTACATAACACAATCACAAGACTCGATCTGCATTATCACGAATTCGTTGGCCCAAAGCTTCCAAGATCCGATGCGTTGCGAGCTTTTATGGGCAAAAACACAACACAGCACAAACAAATTATTCAGTAAAATGTATTTTATATCAGTTTTAAAAGATTTTATAGACAAAACTCTGTAGCGAAAATGAAACAATCTCAAAAACTGAAAGTCTAGTCTGAATGTTGGTTTTCACCCCGCACCTAATTTGTTAGATGAAACTTTGTTTTGGTCGACATGTCCCCATTCACCAAACTTTAAAAAAATGACCTTTCATTGCGGAGATGATCACGCGTGACATCTTAGTAACACACCCACGACTTACGAGAAAAAAAATGAACTAACAAACAAACAAACACCCCAACAAACAACCCAACAATCCAAGAAGCAAAAAAAAAATTGGGTCTCAAATTGTTGCTTGCTTTTTTTTTTTTTTTAACTTACCAAGAGGTCGGCCCCAGCCTGCGATACCTTGACGCGCTCAATGTTAGCCTCCATTCGAAGCTGCTCCACAGTCTTGCGGAGGTTGGCGACCTATGAAGTACAGATAAAGAAATACCGCAGCCTTTTAAAATCTATTTTAAAAAGTCTGAAGTACAGACTATATTAGCAAAGAGTTGTTATCATCATGTAAAGTCATCTATTGTGGAATCGAACATCATTTAAATAGAGTATTGAGTCAGAACGAATGCATAGGAGAAATCGTTGATGACCAACGACTGGCTTTTATTTAGGTAGAATATTTCGCTTAGTATGATCAAACTATATCCAATGCCTTAATAATATATGAGCGGTCCCGTGGTGTAATGGTTAGCACTTTGGACTTTGAATCCAGCGATCCGAGTTCGAGTCTCGGCGGGACCTCATTTTTTTTCCATTGAAAAAATTAATATATCCTATTGGTAAACTCGCACATGCACACCAGGAGTCCAAAATTGTCGATCATTCGTTCTGTCTTATATGAATAAGTGTACGTGCCTTTGACATTTTGGTAAAAAAAAAAACATCGTCAAAGGCGATAAAATTCAAATGGACTATGGGAAAAATGTTATTATTTGTTTATGATGACACGCAAATTGCTGCAAACTTGCATGGACTATAGGCTATGCTTATCGTTGAAAAAAATTCAGACGGAAAAAATCAAATGGGGGAAGGGCTGAATCTATGGAGTCGGGTTCGATTCCTGCCTGGGCCAATGTGGACGTACCTGATGCCGTGGGTTTCCCCCAAAATATTCTTCTGGGGTTTTCCTCCCACCTCTAAAACTGTAATTCATTATCTTCTCATTACTGGGTCTCATGGGAGACCAGTGGATACTGAATGAACTACCCAGCTAAAATAGGAAATAAGAACTAAACGCGCACTCCCTTCACGTCAAAGGTCACTGTGGATGTCAAAGGTCACTATGACGTCAGAGATCACGTGTCTTACCTGTGCAGACATACTAGGCCCCGGTAACTGTGCTCGTCCCAGTGCTGCTTGTTGTTATAACAACCAATAACAAGGAAACGACCGGTGTATGAAGGGCAGCTTTTGTATGGAGCGCTGGTAAAGATAAAAAAAAAGAGAAACAGAGGGTTATTTTAAGGACTACTTTAAAAATCTATATTCTTTATTAAAAAAAAATATACTGAGTTTTGGCTACCGGTGATGTAAGATATCCTCACTCTTCGCATAATAATGCTGGACTGTTGCACTGCGCATTGTCACAAAATCAATCGCGCCAGATCACTTCCAGCACCGGCTGTTTCTACGACTGTTTGCTACAAAACTGACCATGACGTATCGACATTAAACAGCCACTGTCGACCGTCTTTCGAAACCACAAAAGGACATCAAATTTTCAATTCAAAATCGGCATGGTGCTAAGAAGCTAGGTGCAGCACTTCAGTGCAAGACTTGAAAAGGATGTGGAACCACCATTTTTTTCTATTATCGAAAGAAATCATGGCCCCTGGGTAATGAAATTGATATTTGATACATCTCATCAATGATACAAGAAGTCATCAATTAGCCGTGGGAGCGCAGGTGGGGACGAGAATGATTTGCGGTGCAAGTCATTAGTGCGGTTTTATGCATCGCTATCTATTTTACAAGATACAGATATCCGAAGATCTTCGCATATTACAATTGCAAATTCTTGCTTTAAACAAAAAATAATATTCCTATACTTAAAGGTAACATGATGCTGAAAAAATAAAAGATAAAAGGACCAAAAAGGATAGAATAACCCGTAAGTATCACACACCGATTTCTATTTTTGAATTTTGGCAAGTTTGCACTGCAACAGCTGCCGATGTTGTATGTGTAGGCTACATGTATACTTTTTATAACCACTTGACAGGTCCAATTCACAGCCCCGTTGCCAATTCCGGGTTTTTAGGGTGGGCCAGTACCAGCTAGGAGACACTACACACGAAACCCCCACAAATACACATACTTGTTATGCTTATGGTTTTTTTTTGCCTAGAGCCGGGGTGGGGGGTGGGGGGGGGGCTTAACGATGGGCCTGCAAATTCAGTATGGATATATCACACAGCTAAATGTTGCAGTTTTTGCATTGAGACGAAGAGTGCGAGTCGTTTGGATCGTAGACACAAACTAACCAAGCGAGATAAATAAGCGCTGAAAATACTTCTTATGGTTAAACTTGCATGCGGGTGTAACAATGCATTACTATGATGCTTGGAACCATTCAAAGAGTCAGAGAAGATGAGGACACCCCTATTTGCGGGAATAAAGACTCAAAGACTAAATCTGAGGGAGACCCCACAAGATCAAGCTTCTGGAGCTGAAAAATTCGATCCATATTTCGCCAACGGGTCTAGGTTCGAACTACCAACTAGAGGTGGAATGCGAATAAGCACGCTGTACCCCCACCTGACCATCTAACAGACGTGTTTTTCTTCTAAACACATCTCAAGTTATACTTGTAACTTTCAAGAGAATCCGCCCATTTGGAATCCAAACCGCGTTTTTAGTCCACGAAATTAATTAGCAGGAGAGATCTTTAATAAGTAGAATAGGAACGTCCACATAACTACATCTTGAAAATTTGCTGTTTTTGGTGTAATTACAGCGAGAAGGAATGTCTGGGTGTAGATTTGTGGTCCCCAAAATCCGAGCCTTTGGAGCGCATCGTGAGTCAAGTCACGCATGTTTGTTTTCTGTTCATACAGTTGCCTCAATAGTGTTCGCCAGGTTCGCCATGTTTGTTACTAGCAAATACAGCGCGGGACCTGTCATCAAATAGTTAGACATTATGTGGATATTTTGGGACCCAGACATAACAAATTATATGAAACACTATAATTTTGGCGATTCACAAACGAAAGTGTACTTTTCAAGGCAACTCTTTGTTAGGTAATAATTACCAAGCAGTGGCTGAATTCACTGTCTATCTTTACACAGATTGATATAATGCAATACACGCGATACGTAAATGTTAAATTTTCTCGAATTTTTTGAAGAGACGGTTTAGAGTGGCCAGCACTCAGCGGCCGAGAGCGGCCGACAGGTTCCGCTCTCGACTTGAAAGCGTTGTGAAACGCGACCCTCCCCAAGGTACGACCTGCACTGCACGTGGAACGAGTGGTGTGCCCATGAATAAAAGAAATATAAATGCTTTTAGAGATGATTTTGTGATCAATGGTTTCCCGCCTTTTTCCCTCGGTTGGCAAAAATTATCTTCTAGTGCGCATATCAGCTGCTTCACGCTGCAAACCCTTTTCCCATTGGCGTTTACTTTGTAGTTTTAAAATGGACCTGATTGAGTTTATACGCGCTCGCGGAACGCAGTTTTCAAGCGCATTTTCTTTAAAGGTATATAGGAACATTTTGCATTTATCCAAAAGTAACCTACCGAATTATTGTCAAAAAGCTTGCTTGGATTAAAGATCGTACTGACACTAAACACCCCGTGAAATTATTCCGTCTGACTTGCTGTCATTTAGAAGAAATCAAGAAATGTAGGTGATTTTCAAAAAAACGACTGATGTTGTGGAATAAAGAGTGTTATTTGACGAAATCGTTTTTCGTGATCAAAAGGTTGTGCATGCATTTGTCACTCAGTGTTTTCTCGAAAGTGTAATATGAGTTTTGAAAATTCTTCTTTTGTTTTTCAGTGGTTTCATTATTGGAAACGAACAAATGCATGAGAACTATTTTAATATGTCTTTGAGCGACGCATCACACCAAAATGACGGCCACGCCATCATATTGCTTTGACCTCCAAAAGGGACTGGAAAATACATCAAGGTTTGGTTCATAATTTTTACTAAAAAGACAGCGCTCTTTACACATCTGCAGCCATCCCAGCTCTGTAATATCATGAAGGTCGCCAGACACATCAATAATTTATGCATCGACATTAGACTTCGGTTTGTGAAATCACCCTTCGGAATATTCTCTGTATTGCCATGACATTTTCAGAGAACCACGACCGACGGCAGCCTGAGTAATTGAGCCGTACCGGCCTTGTCTACACCGGTGCCTGCACGGACCCTTCCGCCCGCCACTAACAATGCATCGCTCCAATGAATTCGACGAACGTGCTCTAACCGCGGTACGTCGATTTCAGTTCGTACGATACCACCAAAAAGACAAATATTTCACAAAGGACACTGCGATTTTTCCATTTTCCAGCGGCTACGATACAAAACGTTTGCCTGTTACTCTCCGAAAGTATTAGCAAGTATGACAGACGATGAATTATTCACGGTATTTTACTAACCAATCAAACTTGTTCCAAATAATTAAAAGCGAAATAATCGACAAGTTATGCATCCTGCCCACACTCCTAAATTTAAAGATGAAAAGGTCTTCTTGTTGACAATTAGAGCCCCTTTTGGTGATGTCATTTACATATCCTCGAGTAACGACAACATCATTATTTTAGTGTTGTTCCTCTCGATGCTACATAAATCAAATTGAAATGGAATATCCTCAAACAGTTAAAGGCCCATGTAATGTAATTTTTAAATGATATCCTTGAAAATGCACAGTTGCATCCAATTTAACCTTGTTGTCATTTTGAAGGTATTTTGATTCTTTTGGGATTTTTATGCTAATGTAAATTACCATATTCGTGAACAAAACTGTGATGTCATTCCAGGCAGAAACCTCAATGTTACAGCTATTTCTGCACAGGAAGTTGCTAGAATTTTGGATATTTCGCTTTTCTGGTTCTTTTTCTTTGGTGGTTAGCTGTTGCGTATAAGAACATGGCAGTAAGTTATCCTTTCTCACAAAATGTTTTCAATGAGCAAATTTCGGGTTCACAATTTGAATAGAACACCCCTTTAGTGTCTTTCTGAAATGACATCACATCAACAGCGCCACCTGTTGTCCCGAGAAGCATGGAAACATTTTTAAATGTTTAAAGAAGTGCACTTTAAGACAAGATAAGTTTGAGGTAGCACCATGTGAATAAATCTCTTTTCTGAGTATGTGTGGTTCTGAAAAGAACCGGAGGGACTCAACGTTTCGAACAGTATGCTCTGCCCGGAGTGCACTTTGCAATAAAATTTATCAAAAACCGATGTCAAATAGTTTTATGCATTTAAGAGGAGTAGAAAGTTGCTCAAAATGTGTTGCTAAGAAGAATTAATAACATGGATCCTTCAAAACTTATAACGAAAACAAGCACACACCTCACAGATCGTTGCAGAGAAAACGTTCTTAACGCAATAATCATGTTCTGTATAACATCTCCGTCAAATTGGCAGCAGGCCAACAATTAACACGAACCAGAGACTCCGAGGCAGGTTTTTTTTCGGGAAAGCAATTACCAAATTTGGGTCAAGTAATTTAAACACTAATTCATGCTTCTTTAGTCAAGTTGTTCAGCTGAAACGTTTCGACTG